GAAAAGGATCACTTGAGCCCAGGAGTTTGAGGTTGCAGTGAGCCATGATCACACCACTGCACTCCAGCCTGAGTGACAGAGTGAGATTTGCTTTGTTGTCCAGGCTGGACTCCAATGACCCTCTTTTTTTTTTTTTGAGACAGAGTTTCGCTCTTGTTACCCAGGCTGGAGTGCAATGGTGCGATCTTGGCTCACCGCAACCTCCGCCTTCTGGGTTCAGGCAATTCTCCTGCCTCAGCCTCCTGAGTAGCTGGGATTACAGGCACACGCCACCGTGCCCAGCTAATTTTTTATATTTTTAGTAGAGACGGGGTTTCACCATGTTGACCAGGATGGTCTCGATCTCTTGGCCTCGTGATCCACCCGCCTCGGCCTCCCAAAGTGCTGGGATTACAGGCTTGAGCCACCGTGCCCGGCCCCAATGACCCTCTTAAGTAGCTGGGATTACAGGCATGGGCCACCATGTCAAGCTTTTAGCATTCCAGTTTTAACAAGCCCTCAGGCTTAATTAAGTTTGAGAATTCTATTAAAATCTGAGAACCATATAGATACATGAATTTAACATTAAGTGATTATTTCATTAACACTATCAACTACCATTTACTATGAAGGAAGTATTACATGAATCAGTAAATCTAATTTTTAGAGGAAAAAAAATGTAAATTCTCATTTCTATGTTTTGTAGCTTGGAAGATATTTAAGTAATTATGATACATTAAAAAATATTTCTGGGCTGGGCACAGTGACTCACTCCTATAATCCCAGCACTTTGGGAGGCCGAGGTAGGAGGATCACCTGAGGTTGGGAGTTCAAGACCAGCTTGACCAACATGGAGAAACCCCGTCTCTACTAAAAATACAAAATTAGCTGGGTGTAGTGGCGCCTGCCTGTAATCCTAGCTACTCAGGAGGCTGAGGCAGGTGAATCACTTGAACCTGGGAGGCAGAGGTTGAGGTGAGCCAAGATTGCACCATTGTACTCCAGCCTGGGCAACAAGAGTGAAACTCTGTCTTAAAAAAAAAAAAAAAAATTCTGGCCGGGCGCGGTGGCTCACGCCTGTAATCCCAGCATTTTGGGAGGCCGAGGCAGGTGGATCACGAGGTCAAGAGATTGAGACTGTCCTGGTCAACATGGTGAAACCCCGTCTCTACTAAAAATACAAAAATTAGCTGGGCATGGTGGTGTGTGCCTGTAATCCCAGCTACTCAGGAGGCTAAGGCAGGAGAATTGCCTGAACCCAGGAGGTGGAGGTTGAGGTGAGCTGAGATGGCGCCATTGCACTGCAGCCTGGGTAAGAAGAGTGAAACTCCGTCTCAAAAAAAAGAAAAAAATTCTGGCTGGGCACAGTGGCTCATGCCTGTAATCCCAGCACTTTGGGAAGCTAAGGTGGGAGGATCACCTGAGGTCAGGAGGTCAAGACTAGCCTGGTCAACATGGTGAAACCCCATCTCTACTAAAAATACAAAAATTAGCTAGGCATGGTGGCGGTCGCTTGTAGTCCAAGCTACTTGGGAGGCTGAGGCAGAATCGCTTGAACCCGGGAGGCGGAGATTAAGGTGATCTGAGATGGGCCATTGCACTCCAGCCTGGGCAACAAGAGTGAAACTCCAACTCAAAAAAAAAAAAAAAAAACCAAAAAAATAGAGTAAAGTCTGAAAGAATGTCAAGCTAACAGTGGTTCTTTTTTTTTTTTGAGATTGAGTGTCACTCTGTAGCCCACACTAGAGTGCAGTGGCCTGATCTCTGCTCACTGCAACCTCCACCCCAGGTCCCAGTTCAAGCAATTCTCCTGCCTCAGCCTCCCAAGTAGCTGGGATTACAGAAACGCACCATCATGCCCAGCTAATTTTTTTATTTTTAGTAGAGACATGGTTTCACCAGGTTGGCCAGGCTGGTCTTGAACTCCTGACCTCATGATCCACCCACTGTGGCCTCCCAAAGTGCTGGGATTACAGATGTGAGCCACTGCACCCAGCTGGTTAATTCATCAAAGATTATTTTTTAAATTATGCAAGTACAGTAATGCATGAATAAATTCATTTTATAAAATTAATACAGACACAAAAACACATGTATTTAAATGTTCATAGAAACTTTATTCATAATAGCCCAAAACTTTAAACAATGCAAAGTCCACCAACTAATGAATGGGTAAACAAACTGTGGTATACAATCAAATAGCACTCAGCGATAAAAAAGAACAAACTTCTGATACACACAATAACATGGATGAATCTCACAATCATTATGCTAGAAGAAAGAAGCCAGACATACTGAATGATTCTACATATATGAGCTTGTAGAAAGGAGAAAAACTATAGTGAGAGCAGCTCAGTGACGGGCCAGGAGCTGGAGGTAAGAGGAAAAAGATGACAGCAAAGGAGCATGAGGGAACTTTTGCAGGTAATAGAATTGTTTGATACCATAATTATAGTGATAGCTATACTACTGTATACATTTGTTAAAATTCATCAAATTGCCAGGCTTGGTGGCTCATGCCTGTAATCCCAACATTTTGAGGGGGCCGAGGCTGGTGGATAACCTGAGGTCAGGAGTTTGAGACCAGCCTGACCAACATGGTGAAACCCCATATCTACTAAATATACAAAAATTAGCCATATTCAGGAGGCTGAGGCAGAAGAATGGCTTGAACCCAGGAGGTGGAGGTTGCAGTGAGCCTACTGATCTAGAAAAAAAAAATAATCAACCTATATACTTAAAATTGGATTTTATTGCAGTAAATTATATCTCAAGCAGACTTTTTGTGTGTGTTTGAGAGTCTTGCTGTTACCAGGCTGGAGTGCAGTGGCACAATTTTGGCTCACTGCAGCCTCCACCTCCTGCGTTCAAGCGATTCTCCTGCTTCAGCCTCCCGAGTAGCTGGGACTATAGGCACGTGCCACCACACCCAGCTAATCTTTGTATTTTTAGTAGAGATGCAGTTTCATCATGTTGGCCAGGATGGTTTTGATCTCTTGACCCCGTGATCCAACCACCTCGGCCTCCCAAAGTGCTGGGATTACAGGCATGACCTACCATGCCCGGCCTCAAGCAGACAAAGTACAAATAAGCTCTCCTTAGACTACCAATCCAAAACCAGGTTCTCTCACTCCCTGTGATGGCCCCCTACTTCCTCCACACAAGTAAATCAGGTAACCACTAATTATAAGGTTGGTGCAAAAGTAACCCATATCACTATTGCAAGTGGATTCTACAAGTTCTTGTTCTGCATTTACAAACACACAAACACCCAGGGGAATATATATACTTTTCTGTTACCTTATAGCACTTAAACTATTTGGCATTTTCCCACTAAATATACCTTGGAGAACTTTTCATTAGAGTATGTCTTTCTACATCATTCTTCTGACTCCTTAATCTTTTTTGTGTGTATGTGAGGGAGTTTCACCCTTGTTGTCCAGGCTGGAATGCAATGGCGTGATCTCGGCTCACCGCAACCTTTCCATTCAGGGTTCAAGTGATTCCCTAGCCTCAACCTCCTAAGTAGCTAAGATCACAGGCATGCGCCACCACGCCCAGCTAATATTGTATTTTTGGTAGAGACGAGGATTCTCCATGTTGGTCAGGCTGGTCTGGAACTCCCGACCTCAGGTAATCTGTCCTCCTTGGCCTCCCAAAGTGCTGGGATCATAGGCGTTAGCCACTGCACCCAGCTCTCCTTATTCTGTAGCATGGATACACCAGTTTGTTCAGCCATCCCATCACTCAATCATATTTATTGAGTATTAGCGGTGTGCCAAGTTCAGGAAATACAATGTACTATAAAAATTGACTAGTTTTCTGCCCTCCTGGTGTTTTCCAACAAGTGGGGAAGGGCGCGGGCCGTCAATAGTAATATTAAATGTGAAATAATAACTACAAAGGGAGGTTATGATGCTTTGAGCTGAGTAATAGATTTATCTCTTCATGAAGTCGAATAAGTATTTTCCTAGATCAAATACCTTTAAACAGATCTGAAGGTGGGTGAACATGGCTTAACTGGGGCAAGAGCAGGGGATGGCTTGCAGCAACAATGTGATGGAAGAAGTATGTTGGAGGTGGAGAAAATTATGAGGAACTTGCTTTTTAATACTTTCTTTTTTTTCCCAAGATACACACCTTATTTTGTAATCAGAAAAACTATGAGATTATAATTTTTTTTGTGAGACGGAGTCTGGCTGTTGTCGCCTAAGCTGGAATACAATGGCGAGATCGGGTCACCGCAACCTCCACCTCCTCCTCAGTTCAAGCGGTTCTCCTGCCTCAGCTTCCCGAGTAGCTGGTATTACAGGTGCCCGAAACCACACCAGGCTAATTTTTTCCCCCCCCGGGACAGAGTTTTATTCTGTTGCCCAGGCTAAAGTGCAGTGGCACAACCTCGGCTGACTGCAAGCTCCACCTCCCGGGTTCAAGCCATTCTTCTGCCTCAGCCTCTCGAGTAGCTGGGATTACAGGAGTCTGCTCACATGCCGGGCTTTTTGTATTTTTAGTAGAGATGGGTTTCACCATGTTGGCCCGGCTGGTCTCAAACTACCGACCTCAGGTGATCCACCCACCTCGGCCTCCCAAAGTGGTGGGATTACAGGCGCGGGCCCTAATTTTTATATTTTAAGTAAAGATGGGGTTTCAGCATCTTGGCCAGGCTGGTTTCCAATTCCTGACCTCAGACCTCGGCCTCCCAAAGTGCTGGGATTACAGGCGTGAGCCACCGCTCCCGGCCTGATCACAAATACTTTTAAAGTGAAGAGGCTTTCCACTTCCTCAACATAAGGTGTTAATCTTTCATGCTTCTAGGAGAAAAAGTGCAAGAAAAGCAAGACTTCTTCGTTGCTTTCTCTTGAAAAAGCAACAGCCGATGAATGTGTTGGAGCGCTCTCGCCGTGACAGAATTAGGGATCTTCGGTATGACCTGGCGTAGTGGTTGAAGCGTCTAGCCCTAGCTCCTTATTGGGGTGCCACAGCTTCTCCGCCCAAGAGTCGGTTGTTAACCACTTTTCTCTGCAAAAGTACTGCCCGATCTTCACGCGTAAACTAAGGCAAGTGTCTGGTGCGGTGTGTGAGACGTGTAAGTTCAGGGCATCAGAGAATCCCCAACACGCGTACCGTAATAGAAGAAGGCGCGGTTCCTCACCTACCCCACAATGCTCAGCTTGCCTTTCCGGAAACAAAGACTGTCACCCCGACAATGCCTTCATCCTGGCGGAAGCGTCTCGCCCATACTCTGATTGGGGAAGTGACGAAGCGAGGTATTGTGGGACTTTGTCCGTCTTCCAGTACGCATGTGTCAGCTGGCCTCTCTCGGCTTTTGGAGCCGTGTCCGGGCGGTGGTGGCGACGAGAGAAGCACGTCAGCGAAACTAGCCAATCCTCTGCGCACACAAGCGCAGTGGCTCGGACGGCACCGGAAGCGCAGGGGGATGGGGCAGCGGTGACGCGATTCTGTCCGCGTTGGAGGGGCCGGGCCGCGGCTGAAGTCGTCGCGGCCGCCGCGTGACGTGGCACAGCCAAAGCCTAAAGGCTAGAGCCGGAGCTGCCGCGCCAGTCGCCTAGCAGGTCCTCTACCGGCTAATTCCTGTCCCGGAGCTTCATCGGCACAGCGGCCAGCGAGACGTTCTAGCTTCTCTGTTTCTTCCTCCGCTTTCTCTTCCCTCTGGTTTAGTTTGCTGGGAGCGCGAAAGGAGAAAGCACGGGGCCGCCCCAAACCACTTTTGCTTCTGCCCATCGCAAGTGCCACTACCGCCATGGGCCTCACTATCTCCTCCCTTTTCTCCCGCCTCTTTGGCAAGAAGCAGATGCGCATTCTGATGGGTGAGTGAGGGTCCGCGAGTCGTGGCGGGACTCGAGAAAGGCAGGGTCTCCACAATTGTGGTGGCCTCTGGGCCTGTTTTTCCCTCCGCCAGCCGTGGTGGGGGAGGGGCGCTGGGTCGGGGGTCGGTAGAAATTCTTAAGGGGGGAACAATGGAGCGGAGGGTGAGCGATCGCCCCAGATCTGTCGCCCGGCGAGGCAGGGACGGGGCTTCGGTCAGGGCTTCTTTCTGGACTTGGCTTTTTCTCCTTGATCTTACTGAAAGCTGGGCAACATTGGGCAAAGATGTGGGGAAAGCCAACTCTAGGAATCAGACACTTGGCTAGGCCCTTCCTGGGGGTGCGATCTGCATACCTTCTTGCCCGGGTGTGGACAGCAGTCAGGAGCGAGGCAGAACAACTCCAGCCTTTTCCCTCCCCCTCTGCGCTTCGTGTACAGGCCCTGCACACTCCACTGGTATGTGAGCCAGCGGCCACCCAGAGCCCAGAGCCGCCCGGGGCAGGAAGTGCGGTGGCCAGGGAGCACCTAACGTTTCCGAAGCCTCTGGAGTCCTTAAGCGCTCACTTTGGTTAACTTTGCCGTGCTCTGGTTTCCGTTTCAAGTTTTTCCTTCCTTGTTCATCGCATTCTCCGAAAACTGAGCTTATCTTTTGTCTATGTCTTGGCTGTTTAAAAAAACTTTAAATGTATTTAGTTTATTCTCCTAGGTTTTCAAACTTCTTTTTAGCTGGCCTAAGGTCTAATGCAAAAGAATTTTGGAAACTAATTTTTAAAAAATACCTGATAAATTTTCAGTAACTGAACATCATGACGCTGAATTTTAGGGTAGCCTTGTTAGATAGTGAACTACAGTTTTTTAAAAAAAATTCTTTTTAGATAATTGGCTTTTTAAAAACTACTTTAGGGGGCGGGTTTTTGCTCAGCTGAGGAAGAAGGGCTGTCAGTTGGCTGATATAAGCAAACCGCTCCCGGTTACTGTGAGCATTCTACATTACAGTTGAGCTCCATGGACTAGAATAACGCCGAAAGAAGCCCTTCTCACTTTGAACGTTGAAACTTGTTGGTTCATTAGCTTGTTTTCTACCGGAGGAGGTTTTATTTTCTTTCTTTTTTTTTTTTTTGGAGACAGAATTTTGCTCTTGTCGCCCAGGCTGGAGTGCAGAGGCGCAATCTTGGCTCACTGCAACCTCCGCCTGCTGGGTTCAAGCGATTCTCCTGCCTCGGCCTCCCAAGTAGCTGGATTACAGGCATGCGCCAGCAGGCCCGGCTAATATTTTGTATTATTAGTAGAGATGGGGTTTCACCATGTTGGCCAGACTGGTCTCGAACTCCTGACCTCAGGTGATCCGCCTGCCTCAACCTCCCAAAGTGCTGGGATTACAGGCATGAGCCACCACGCCCGGATGAAGGTTTTATTTTCGAGCTATTCTACCACTGAAAGTTTTCAAACACAAGCTTCTGTAGTATTTCAAGGTATAGGAAGAGTTAAAAGTATTTACATTGGCTCATGTTTAAGTTCCTCGTAATTCAGCTTATTTATAATTTTTAAGACAATTGTTTATGATTCATTCATAAAGATAAATAAAAGTATTTTCTCTTTCAGAGTTTCTTAGATTTCCTTTGTCAAGAGGATAGAATTATTTTAGGAAAGCAAGCATATTTAATTTTTAAGTGGCTGAAAGTTGGCAGTCTGAAAAAGGATCTGAAGTTAATGAGTGGACTTTGGACTGTGATAAATGTATTTTCAACCTGTTCCTTAAAGAGATTTACCAATACGTGGTTGTGTTCCAGAACATGTAGTATATTGGTCTTTTTACTTAAGATTTATTGTAAATGAATTGATGTTTTTCATTTCCTTAGTCTTTTGTGTCTGATGAAAGTATCAGAGGGGCAAGGAAGATATAAGTATGCTACCAGCATTTTCCTATATTTACTATATTGGGAGGCATTTCCCACCACCCCCAAAAATGATTGGAAGAAAATGGGAGAGAAAAAATATTTAACTTTCTGCATTTGTGCGGAGGATTGAAGGAATGATTTAGGAGTATTTGTTTTGAATGTTTTATTACTCAGGCATGCTATTCTTTTGCGCTTTAATTTTGGGATAATCAGTTTTCCTTGACTAAAAACACTTTAGTCACAAGATCAACATTTATGGTAACTCATCAAAGGAATTATCAACACAAGGGAGATATGGGCATGAACAGGGAAAAAGGTAGTTTGGAAGTTTGATAATTTTTACATTTTTCTGTCTGGCTTTATGAGTGGCAGCAAAAATAATAGATCACATGGCCGGGTGTGGTGGCTCAAGCCTGTAATCCCAGCACTTTGGGAGGCCGAGGCAGGTGGATCACGAGATCAAGATATCGAGACCATCCTGGTCAACATGGTGAAACCCTGTCTCTACTAAAGATACAAAAAATTAGCCGGGCATGGTGGCACGTGCCTGTAATCCCAGCTATTCAGGAGGCTGAGGCAGGAGAATTGCCTGAACCCAGGAGGCGGAGGTTGCGGTGAGCCGAGATCGCGTCATTGTACTCCAGCCTGGGTAACAAGAGCGAAACTCCGTCTCAAAAAAAAAAAAAAAAAGATTACTTTTAAAGTGTCTGCCCCATTCAACTGTTGGAATTTATCAGTTAATATTTGACCTTAGTGTGCTGCTTTTTTCTTTATAAAGCTCAGATAAGATTCATGCCTTCCTGAGTCAGTGTTTTTTTCAGACTTTACCATTTTAAATATAAGGAGGTAGCAGTTAGCTGATGTTTCAGTTTGCCAACCTTCTATGGAGAAGTTTTCAATTTAATTCCTATACCTGCTGTTCTCCCGAAAGTTCAAGTAACTTTAAATGATATTGGAAGTTAGCTTGTAGTTAACTGTAATTGAAAATAAAAAGCCAACACAGTGTATCAAAGTTAACATCATCTTAACTATTGATTGACAGAAATTATCTAGTAGTTATTTGTAAGGGGAACGAGTAATGATGCTGCCCGAGTTAGAAAGCTATAGCTTCTGGCCAGATACGGTGGTTTACGCCTATAATCTCTGCACTTTGGGAGGCCAAGATGGGAGGATTGCTTTGAGGCCAGGAGTTTGCAACCAGCCTAATCAACATAGCAAGACCCCATCTCTATTTGAAAAAAATAAAAATAAAGCAATAGCTTTTGTATTTTATTTATTTATTTATTTAGAGATTGAGTTTTGCTCTTGTTGCCCAGGCTGGAGTGCAGTGGCATGATCTAGGCTCACTGCAACCTCCACCTCCCTAGTAGTTGGGATTACAAGCGCCCACCACCAAGCCCAGCTAATTTTTGTATTTTCAGTAGAGACAGGATTTCACTATGTTGGCCAGACTAGTCTCAAACTCCTGACCTCAGGTGATCCAACTGCCTTGGCCTCCCAAAGTGCTGGGAATACAGGCAGAGCCATCACATCTGGCCGGTTTCTGTATTTTGTATATATATATTTTTGTTGCTGTTGTTTTAAAATATTTATATATACATTTATTTTAAATAATAATGTTTTTATCCTTTTGAGTAGCTGAGACGACAAGGACACGCCACCATGCCTGGCTAATTTTTGAAATTTTTTGTAGTGACAGGGTCTCACTATCTTGCCTATTCTTGGGCTAAAGCGTTCCTCCCACCTTGGCCTTGCAAAGTGCTGGGGTTACAGGAGTGGGCCACTGAGCCTGGCTGCATTGTCCTATTTTAAGTCTGGTTTCTGTATCTTGATCCATGATAAGATGTAATATTGTAATATTGCTAAATGAATCCTTAAATTATGTATATATCCAAAAATACTAATGTGTTCTGCAGAGGAATTATTAATTCTGATCTCTTTACTTTGAACTTCCCAGTTCTTGCCTGTTGAAAAGGTGAAAAACGGTTACTTTTTAAAAGTTTGCTGATACCAGTGTAGTGCAGTATGCTGGTGTAGTTCTGTATTGTCTTGTATGTGACTGTGGTTTTGAGGGCCTAGAGAGGTTCAGGAGAAAGATCCTGTGTTTGTCACTTTAAAAAGTATTATCAAGCTAAAGAATGGTGTTTTATATTTGTTTCTTAGCATATTTTGTAAATTTTTAATTTTTTTTCCTGAAAATTATTAAAAATAATTTTTAAATTATTTTTTAGAGAATAGGGGGTCTTGCTCTGTTGCCCCAATGATCTCAAACTCCTGGGTTCAAGAGATCCTCCTTCCTCGACCTCCCAAAGTGCTGGGATTACAGGTGTAAACCATCACATCTGGTAAACTCCCAGTCTTTTGAGAGGAAGTTTTTGTTCCTCTAAAATAGTTGTGAAATATGTAGTTTTGTGTCCTCTCTTTTTGATTTAGCAGGCATTTTCTCAGGTTATTGGTTGAACATATAAAAAAAATTAGCAGAGCATAGTGGCATCTCTAGTCCTAGCCTTAAAAAAAAAAGGGCTTTTCTGATTAGTTATGCGAATATAGGAAACAGAAAAGGCAAAAATTCTTAGTTTCATGCTACTAGTTGATAGGTATAACCATCCTTAGATGCACCCTTTTGCATTATTACAGTAAGGCAATAGGCTGTCAGAAACTTTGATAATTTTCTGCTAATTAACTCACTGATAAAAATGTAGATGTTTCTCATACACGTGTAGAAGCAGAACCTAAGTTCACATTTTTCCATATACCTGGTAGCCTCAGTTTCAGTTTGGATAGTCAAGCCTCTGATGAATTAGAGTAAATACACACACACACAGACACACACTTTTTTTAAGATGGCATCTCAGCCTCATCCAGGCTGGAGTGCGGTGGCATGATCTCAGCTCACTGCAACCTCCACCTCCTGGGTTCAGGCAATCCTCCTGCCTCAGCCTCCTGAGTAGCTAGGATTACAGGTGTCCATCACCACTCCTGGCTAATTTGCATAATTTTAGTACAGACAGGGTTTCACCATATTGCTCAGACTGGTCTTGAATTCCTGACCTCAGGTGATCCACCAGCCTTGGCCTCCCAAAGTCCTGGGATTACAGGCATGA